CCACCACGACCCAGATGTTTAGATGCTGATGCTGAAAAGGAAAATAAGAGCCATGGGGAGAAAGCCAGGAGAGGAGGGGACCTGGGTGGGACTGGCTTCCAGAAACCTGCACTGCTTTGGTACAGTGTCTTTAGTTTAGAAACAGGGAAGAGAATTAGAGAAGAAGACTCAGAGATTGTGAATTAATATCTTAATTGGTTCAATGATGACCAACCACCCATCTCCTTATCTTCAATCGTATAGTTTAATTTTAAGACAATAATCTGCGTGTTCAGCCTTGAATATGTTGAGGATTTGGTGCTATCGAGCATTTTTTCTGGTTTTTGATCCCATTTTCCCTTTTTCGCTGCATTGCTCCCAAGTTTTCCCAGTCTTTGGACAATTATTGGTGTGAGTTTATTGCTCTGCTTTTAAAATTGTCATTATCCAGGAGGAGGAGGGACCTCCTCGGGTGGCTGTATGGAATAACTCTGTTCTTACCTAATTGATTGGACAAGGGAAGTTAAGTGTGAAACTCTTCCTTATTGTCTGTGTCCTCTCTCTAATTATCCCAGCTCGGCAAGAACATCCCAAATGTGCAGGCCCTCTCTACTTGTTCTGCCTCAGCAGGAATTTCTCCAAACGTCCAGGCTGCTAATCCAGCCCTTCCAGAGGGGTCTGGGCGCGGGATTTTGCAGTCAGACAGAGCCGAGCTGATGTGGGAAGGGGGTGACCCCCCACCCCCTCCCATCCTGTGTCTGTGTCTGTCCAGCTGCTGGGACGTGTGTCCAGCTGGATTTTGTGCTGGGATCAGACCAAGTGCACCCAGATGTTGGTGGGGGAGGAGGCTGTGGCACTGCTGTCCCCCCATCCCGACAGCTGCCCTGGGCACAGGGATGTTGGGGAGAGGGGAGCAAGGCACCATCTCCCACCCGTCCTGAACCCGCTGCTGCCAGAGCACAGGTTGTCCTGGCCAAAGCCTGGAGCAGGAGGTGGGAGCTGAACTCATCCCTGCTCTGGCAGAGGAGCCAGACGAGCTGCTCCGGCGCTGATTCCTTGGAGCTGAGCTCCCACGCCTGGCCCCGCGTTCGGCCCGGGGTCCCGTGGCCACCTCTGCAGAGGGGAGAGGGGACATTCCCATCCTACGCTCTGCTGCCTTCTCGGAGAGATCGGGACAGAGATTGGGGTGGTTGAAAAGCAGAGCCTGGAGCCTGCAGAGGTTGGGAGCTGGAGCGACAAGGCTGATGCGAGTCTGCTGTGGCAGCAACCAGATGGCGGGGCCGGCTGGGAGCAGGAGCTGAGCTGGACACTGGGAATGTGTCCTGGGAGGGTCCCCGGGCACCTGCGCGGGGTGACAGGCACGTCCCTGGGAGGGGGTTTCTGCAGGGACGGGCTGTGGGTCCCTGGTTCCAGGACCATCCCACTGCCCGGCTCCTCCGCAGGCTGCGGGCGCTGGGTGGGTGCCGGGGCTCGGCTGCCCCAGGCGTGACACCCCCACTTTGGGGCTTTGGGGACACGTCTGTGCCCGTGTTTGCTGCAGGTCCTTCACCGTCACACTGTCCCCGAGCTCCCTCAGTGCCACCCCCACTTCTCCGGGTTGGAAACCCGCATCCCCGTTCCTCCCCATCCCACCCCCACTCCCTCCCTCCCTCCCTGCCTCCCTTCTCCCTGCTCGTGCCTAATTCAATTTGCTGCTCCCCCGAACAGCTCCCCATAGCTTGACCATTAACAAATGGACTTGGCCGGAGGCCTGGGCGACCATTTGGATGCTGAAGCTGCTGCCAGGCGGGCCCGGGCACCCGCGAGCCGGCGGCACTGCCAGCACCCCGCGCTGGCATCCCGGAGAGCTGCCAAATCCCGGCGGGGCCGCTGCCAGCTCCGGGAGAAAGGGGCGAGGGAGCCGCACACAAAGAGGGGTTTATAGCCCGGCCGGGCACCTGACACGGGGAGGAGGGAGGGCTGAGACGTGCTTAGCCCCGATAATCCCCGGGTTTGAGTTTAATATATTATTTTATTTTTTTTTTTAATCAAAAGCACAGCAACAGCTGGGGCTGAGGCTTTCCAGGAGATGAACTCATGAACAACTGTTCAAAATAACTTTATTCGTGCTGCTATTAGATCAGTGCACTGGGGAGCCACCAATTATTTGTGATTACTCCAGGCAGATAAGGCTGGGGCAGAGCCCAGAACCGCAAGGGATCGAGGGCACCTCGTGGTTTGGCTGTTTTAGGTGGGCAGGTCATGGGCACCCGGCACCCACAGGAGCCCCTGACACCCATGGGAACCCCCAGCACCATCCAAGCTCCCTCCATGGTGCTCAGGGATCATCCTGGGGGAAGCACAGCTGGGGGGTTGCAGGTGGGCACCATGTGGACATGCAGGAGGCTCTCGGGATGAAGGGATGTTTGCAGGCAGATCTGTGGCCATTTCTGCCTAAAAACCAATTAGCAGTGGTGCTGCAGGGCTAATTAGCCCATCCAGAGCTGGTCTGTCCATCTTGTTCATGAGCCCCAGAACCAGCACGGAATCAGCTCAGGGAAAGCTGCGGGATTTGGAGCAAGACAGGTCCCTTCCCAGGGATGCCCATGGAGCAGATCCCAAAATCTGAGCAGGGCAGTGCCCACCCACTCGCCCTGACCCCATCCCACAGACCAGCCTTAAACCCCTCAGCCAGCTGAGGCCAGTGCTGGGCATTTTCCCTTTCCAACATGACATCAGGCACGAACCTGAGCACAGGCCAGCAGGAAAATCTCCCAAGGGAACCAAAGGTGGAAGCTAAACCACGAAAAACTGGGCTGCAGGGCCCGGGCTGCTCTGGCCAGCAGACAGACTGCATGAGCTAATAGGTCTTTTCCATTTCTCGCTCCTGTGATTCAAGAAGTCTCGTCACCGGGGAGTTTTTAAAAATAGCCCTGGATGAAACAGAAGACGGGGGATGAGGGACCAGGCCTGCCTTGGCTGGGAGGCAGCTTGGGCTAACAGGACTTTTCCATCGGGCTGTTCCATGATTAATCGAGACAAGAAAAGAAAAAAAGAGAAGGAAATTGATAAACACAATGGTAATTCCATCCAGGGCTTGCCTTAGTCAGGTTATTAGAATCCTGACATCATGTCTTGAAAAGAGGACTGGAAATAAATCTCTGGGAGATAAGATCTGCTGGCTGGGGGGGCGGGGAGGTGCACCAGGCTGACGGGGCCATCTTGGGGGTCCCCTCCCCAAAAAGCTGTTCCTCCCAGTTTTGCTGGGTCTCAAACCAGCAACAGGAACGTGTGGCTTCCATGGAAACATTACACCTTCTTCTGCCTGCACTCATCCTGTAAAATCACCCTCCACACCCCGACGAAAGCATTCCTGAAGGAACCTCCTGGTGGGTGGGAAGTTCATTTCCTGTGGTCATTTAATCAGAGCAAACACTGGGAAGTTTGGGATTGGCTCCAGCAGTGGGGGTGTGCAGTGTGTGGGTAGCTGTGGTCTCCTGAGGGATGCTGCACCACAGGGTCTGTGTGGGAGCTGCTCCTCACCCACAGCACGAACTCTCCCAGGAGACCTCGGATCCTGAGCAGCCTGAGCTGTAGCTGTTCCCAATGGCCCCACACTCCAGAGGTGCAGCTCAGGTGAGATGGGATGTCTCGGGATCCAAATCAGGAATTTTTCTGTCCCTTTGGCCTTTATGGCTAATTCTGGGGGTGGGGGTGGGAGAGAGGAGCGAGGTCACTCGGGAATGTCTCAGCCCACAGACCCTCTCCAGCCTCACTGGGAACTTAGGAATAGCCATTTCCGGGAGGCAAATGAAATATTCCCCCTTTTTTCCCCTAAATGTCTCTGCTAATGGTCAGTCTCAGTCTGGGGTTGATTTGACTCCAGTCCCCAGAGCTGCTGCTACCAGGGATTTCCAAGGAGTCCACAAGGCCTTTAATCTTTCCCTCTGCAAACAGGGCTGGTGTGACCCCAAATCCCCACCAGCCCCTGCTCGGAGCCTGGTGGCAGCCGGAGCCGGTCCTGGCTGAACTCCAGACGGGGAATTTCTGTCCTGTCTGTATCCCTGCAGCCTCATCCCTGGAAATCGGAGCTGCTCCTGTCCAGTCCTGGCTGCTCCCACCACAGCCCCCGCTCCCAGCCCGGGAAGGATGTGCTGCAGGGGGAAAATTGTCTTTTTCTTCATTTATTCTCTTTAACAAGCGATTTTTTTGCCCGTGAGCACACGCTCCATGACTTTTCCACGTGCAGCCCCTCGGCCTCCCTCCCCTCTCACTGTCTTTCTGATGCACAATCCCAAACAAATCCCACCTGTAAAGGAAGAATCCAGACACACAGCTCTGCTGCACCCTCCAAAGGGCTGACCCTCTCCAGCCCAGGAAATTCCTTGGCTACTTTTGGACCCTGCACAAGACTGAGTGGGTTGAAACATGCTAAAAAAAACCATGTTATTGCAACATTCGGGGAGCAAAGGTTTGGATGTTGCACCCACAGATCTCCCACAGCCTCTCTCAGTAGCCTGAGCAGATTATTTTTTAAATATATTATGATATGATATTAAATATATGTTAGGAGATGTATATAGAATATATGATATTATGTGATATATATGGCAGGGTTAAATATATATATTTCAAATATATATACATAGGATTTTTTTACAAAGCCGTGGCCCAGTCACTCACTCCAAAGGTCAGGATGCAGAGATGGGTTATCACAGCATCTTTAAAACTCCTCTGTGTCCTCCCTGTGAGGATCTGCAGGCGACAGTGCCCTCTAGTGCACCCCCTCCCCAGCCCCCCTTCAGCAATAACTAACGAGCCCCTGGCTCATTAGCTAATTGCCACCCTGACATTTTGTAGGCTTATGGTTGGACTCGATGATCTCAGAGGTCTCTTCCAACCATAATGACCCTGTGTTTCTACCTGGACCCACCGTTCTGGGCAATCCCAGGGATGCTGGGACAGTCAGTGTTATCCCTGCAGGGAATTTCCACCTCCCCATTGCCGATGGGGTTTTTTTCCCCCCACTTTTATTTTTGCAGCTCCCTCGGAGGACAAGGAGGATGAGAAGGATGAGGTCTGTGGACGCTGGATCCTGTCATGGAGCAAGTCCTGAGTGCCCTTCTCCAGGCTCGGGTACAACCAGGTGCCCCATTCCCTGTTCTCCGTCTCTCCAACCTCGTGGTTCCTCGGACACTGCCCAGGTGAGCTGGGAAATCCCTGGATGATGCTACTTCTTCATGAGCATTTCACTAATTACTCCTCCCAGCAGCACTACCTGCTCGGCTTCACTTCTCTGCTCCAAGTCTTGCCTTGGGATGAGAATTCCAGAATCATTTAGGTTGGAAAACCCCCTCTAGCTTAGGTTGGAGTCCCCATCCCTGGAGATGTCCAAGGAAGGCCTGGCTGTGGCACTCAGTGCTCTGGGCTGGGGGACAAGGTGGGCATCAGGCACAGGGGGGACTCAGTGATCCTGGAGGGCTTTTCCAACCTCAGTGATCCTGTGATGAAAAATCCCCCTTTTCCAGAGCATCCTGTGCTCCCCCAGCTGGGGCTGAGGGAGGCAGGAGGATCCAGCAGGGCTGTGGATGCAGCTGTTTAACAGCTCCAGGACAGGGAAGGGTCATTCCCGTTCCCGGCGCGGTTTAACCACGCACACGTTTATTTTCCTTGGCTCTGACAGGGAAATGGGCTCCTCCAGGACTTCTCATTAAGCGAAAAAAAATTTATGAGAGAGGACGAAAATTGAGTTTTACTGTCTGAGGTCTCGGGCAGCGCTGGTTCTGCAGACGTTTTTGTCATCTCGGGGAGGACTGAGAACGTTTCTCCAGCGGAATAAAAACGTTTCACTTCCACTTTTGGAGTCTGATGCCTCGGCCGGTTCCGTCCCCGGCGCGGAGCGATGCCCGGGGTAACCCGACCCCGTGGGGATTCCAAACAAAAGCCAAACACCTCGCAATTTATGTCCAGTGAAAAATAACGTGTACATGATGTAAAGCGTTCTGGGGATTTGATGCTAATTTTAGTGGTCACCTTGGCTGCTTTTGAGGAAGTTGCCGGTGCTGCCAAGAGCGAATTTACCTGATGATGAATGAGGAATGGGAGCATAAAATAAATAAATATCAGCAACACCTTTTTTTTTTCCCCCTCCTTTTTTGGCAGATCGGTGTCGTCCAAGGTCACGCATTTGTGGGGTAGAACTGCCAGAGCTTAGTGCTTTAAAATCATGTTTAAGACAGAGCAGCATCTTTAAGTGCTGGATTTAAAAAGAAAGGCTAAAGTAGGGTCTCCAAAAAATTCCTCTCCGTTGGTCACATTTTCATGTTGGCATTAACTGTCTTCTCTCCTGGTGTTCAGGCTTGGAAGAAGCTCAGCAATGAGCAACCTGGTCCAGTGGAAGGTGTCCCTGCCCGTGGCAGAGGGGTGGAATGAGATGAGCTTTAAGGTCCCTCCCAACCCAAACTATTCCAGGATTCAGCACAAATTCCTTGTTTTCCTCCTGAAACCAGTCCTGCAAACTCCCATGCCAGGTACTGACCACTCTATACTTGACCTTTTTCTTCTGTTCGTGGAAAAAATTGGGAAGCTGTGCTCTGAGATGAAGAAAAAGGAGGATTTACTGACAGAACATGACAAGCAGGAAAGTCTTTTGTTTCCATCAGCTGTTTTTGCAGAGCGGGAATGGTTCAATAGCTCAAACCTTCAGGAAGTTAAATCTGGAAAAGGCTTGGGAGAAAACAGGCAGGAACCTCCTGAAGTGACCCCTGGTCCCGTGGGCTCTGAGGACAGAGAGTGTCACTCCTGCCTCTCCAAGCTGCTGCTAATTACTTTCAAATAATTTATTTTCAATTAAAGTGAAAGCATTTTATTAAAAAAAAAAAGGAAATAAGTCAGGAAGTTCCACCATTAAAACCCAGAAGTTTTATTTGTGTGGAATACCAGCCACCCTGCAGCTTTGGAGATGACCTGGAAAGATTTCAGGATTTGGGGATTTTTTGACTGTTCACTTTTTCCTCCCTCTCCAAAGAGGCTGTGGGAAGGGGGTGTGTGAAGGGACAGCAGTAACACGACCTGCAGAGGGAGGTGGGCAGAGACTTTGTGTAGGTGAAGTGGGAAGGATGGGACAAGCTGGATTTATAGCAACCCTTGGAAAAATGATAAATGGAAGCTGTAATTTTTATCGGGGAAGGGGAGCAGACCACGGGCGAGGGAAGAAAATAATAGAAAAAGCATAAATTAGGAGCGGGGTTTGAGGGTCGGGAGCAGAAAGCCTTTGGCTCGTTTATAACGGGAGTTTGCCTGGAACATGATCCAGGGGAAGTTACCTGCAAAAGGCTTTTCTAGTAAGTTGTGTTGGGGTGAAATTCTGTGTCATGGCTGTGCTTCCCACTGCTCCCAAACACATCCTGCAGCCACCACCCACAGCTGGTGTCCCACTGAACCAGATGCTGGATATATGCAGGGTATTCAGTATATACAGGGGATGTCATATATACAGGGTATTTAATATACACAGGGGACATAATATATACAGGGTATTTAATATATACAGGGTACACAACATACACAGAGTATTCAATATACACAGGGTATTCAGTATATACAGGGGATGTAATTAATACAGGGTACTTAATACACACAGGGTATTTAAAATATACAGGGTATCCAGTATATACAGGGTATTTAATATATGCAGGGTATTCAGTATATACAGGGGATGTAATAAATGCAAGGTATTTAATATACACAGGGTATTTAACATACACAGGGTATTTAATATACTCAGGCCACTGCATGATTTAAGCCAGAAGGATTCTCCCAATAGCTTTAGGACAGGTTTGGATGGCTGGTGGGCAGCTGCCTGTCTGTGCCCATCTGGCAGCAGCAGTGCTGATCCCTGGGATGTGGGGCTGATCCCTGGGATTCGGGCTGATCCCTGGGATGTGGGGCAATGAGCTCAGGGCCGTGGCTTTCCCCCACAAAGGGAAGCACCTCTAGAGGAGTCTCCATCGTGGGGAGAGTGTGGGAACATCCACCTGCAGAGCCAGAGGGATCCCAGCACTCCGAGGATGTTCCCTCCCTCCAGCCCCAGGTTCAGCACATTTTCCTCAGAAGCCAAGGGAACCCCAGCTTGCTCCAGGTGGAGGAGGAGCCAGTGGGATGAATCCTACCCCAAACAGTTGGTGAGTTTACTTTGGGAAGTGCCCAATCACCCAGCTTTCCGGAGGTCCCAGCCAGGTCCAGGATCCCCAGGGATGTTTCTGCATCAGACACACGAGCAGAGCCCCTTGGCTGCAACGGCTTGGGCAGAACATCCTGTCTCTCCTTGTCTCCATTGCTTCAGAAGGCTCCAGGGAGACCTTAGAGCAACTTCCAGTGCCTAAAGAGCCTCCAGAAGAGCTGGAGGGGGACTTGGGACAAGGGTCTGGAGTGACAGGACAAGGAGAATTGCTTTTAACTGAAAGAGGGGGAATTTAGGTTCAATATATGGAAGAAACCCTTCCCTGTGAGGGTGGGGAGGCCCTGGCACAGGTCGCCCAGAGAAGCTGTGGCTGCCCCATCCCTGGAAGTGTCCAAGGCCAGGATGGACAGGGCTTGGAGCAACCTGGGCTAGTGGAAGGTGTCCCTTCCAACCCAAACCATTCCAGGATTCTGTGATTTTGAAGATGAGCATCCCCAGAGGATTTTATGGCTTGTCCTTTGATTGGAATTACTCCAGGCTTGCATGAGCAAACTGAAGGAGTGGGAATGAACCAAATATCTCTCCATGACACATTTCCACCCACCACATGTTTCTCAAAGAGCTGCAGCCTCACAGCACCCCAGACTTACCAAGTCTCGTCCTGACAGAGACAAGTTTGGCTCTAAACCTACCTGGTTTCCTTAGGTCTGAGTCCATCCACCGCTCCCTTTTTGATGCCAGGAACGCCTCCACGAGCCGAATTTCCCTGGTAATTGTGCTTTGGATTAGTTTAGAAAATTGCCCAAGCCCTGGGTTAGCGCTGGCCGGGTCCCTCCTCCGAGCGCCGAAGGCTCGGGGCGGGGGGGGCAAAGCCTGAAGAGCTGCGAAAGGCAGAGATGTAACAGATGTTGACACGCAGGGAAAATACGAGAGGCAGGAGCCTGAGATAATAAATCTGAAAAATTAACACGTAGGAGGACGAGAAAAGGAGCAATATGTTTTGGTAATCACTCTGAACTGCTGAACCCTCCTCCCGCCGCCCCAGGACGCCTGGCACGGAGCAGATGTCACTCACCCGGTGATTAACACATTACTGGATTTCTCCAGTCGTTTAATAAAAGTTTTACGTAACATGCAGGTAATTGCTTCCAAATGGCAAGGTAACAATGTGGCCTTCTGTGGATGGCATTGTTTCCAGCATCCAGGTGAAAACTCCTCTCGTTGTCCCTCTGCGAAGACCCCGCGGCCGAGCAGCTGCTTTTCCCGTCACTCCTCCGAGCGCCAGAGACAAAGGAACACCCTGGGAAGAGGCAAAGCTTTCGGTTGGGGAATATTTTTATTTCCCTTCAAACGTCCAGATGAAGGGAGCCTGCAAGAAAGATGGAGAGAGACTGTTAACAAGGAGTGTCAGGACAAGGAGGAATGGCCTCACACAGGCAGAGGGGAGGTTTAGACTGGATTTTAGGAAGGAATTGCTCCCTGTGAGGGTGGGGAGGCCCTGGCACAGGTTGCCCAGAGAAGCTGTGGCTGCCCCATCCCTGCAAGTGTCCAAGGCCAGGTTGGACAGGGCTTGGAGCAACCTGGGCTAGTGGAAGGTGTCCCTGCCCACAGCAGGGGGTGGGACTGGATGGGCTTTAAGGTCCCTTCCAACACATGTGATTCCATGATTCCATGATATGGGCAGCAAAAGGGCTTTGTGCTCCCAAACTGTGCCACAGGTGATTCTTCTCTGTGATTTTTAATATTTTTTCTACTTTTCTTGCTAGAAAATCTTGTCACTGCGGAGCACGTGGAGATGATGGGAAGAACAGGGTGACTGGGAAAGCCTGGGCAGCAGGGATGGGGTGTTGTTCTTCGTGGAACTCTCACCCTGAACCCAACCCACGCTCAAAATCTAAAATCCATTGTGAAACCAGGAAAAAAAAAGTGATCCCAACCAGTTTCTTTGCTGGGCATCTGTCCTGATGTGCAGCTGGGGGGACTTGCTTTGCTCCAGTGTGCCATCACTTGTTATTTGGGAGTCAGAGCAGGAGTGAGGTGTGACAGTGATGGATGTTCAGGGACAGGGAACCCCAACTGGCTGCAGACCCTGCAGGCTCAGAGAATTGCTGGCTAACAGCCTTCATGGCTGTGAATGAGCTTCCCAAATTACTGGAGCTGGAGAACAGGATACCTTTTAAACAACCAATCTGTCATGAGCCGTATCCTGTGTCTGTCAGAGCCCAGCGTGACTCCAGTGGGGGAATCCATGACAAAAATCTGGGGAGGGCTGTAAAAACGCACGTTGATGTGGTTGTTTTGACATGACATTTCTTTTTAGGCAGCTTTAGGTGATTTCTGCTGCCACTGCAGGTCACACATGTCACCTCTGCCCAGCAGCATCGCCGCTGTGGCTCCCCCTGCTCCTGAGGAGCAGCAAGGGTTGTCCCCTGGTCTTCCTCACAGAGGGAAGGTGTGCCCAAGGTGCAGATGCCATCAGAGCAGGGCTCCAGATGCTCTTCCAGCAGGCTCAGCCATCCTGTGGATCCTGGCAGCCCCATGGAGACCCCGGAGTATCTCACACAGCACCAGATATCTCAGTTTAGGGCCCTGAATCCCATCCTTGCTTCCCTGGAAGGTGGGTTGTGCCCAGTGGTGGCCACTGCCCTTTGGTAGCCCCCCCTTCATGAGGTGAGCTGAAAGCATCAGCACTGTGTAGGCTTTCCTGTGCCTGGGGATTCTGGGCCTATTCCCAGCTGCTCTGTACAGAATGAGTTATGGACACATTATTAAAACCATATTTCCAGCCTTGGAGCACGAGGGAACCCCTGGGTGGTACTGGAGGCAACGTGCCCAGGGAGGACAGGAGTGCTCCTCAGACCACCTGGCTTCTCAAGGGAGATGAACAGCAACAAAGGTGGGCAACAGGCTGCTCCAAAGCACCAGAGGGGAGATGCTGGAGCAGGTCTGTCTTCCCTCAGGAGGAGCAGATCAGCTGGGAAACATCTCCCACCTCCTCCTGCACTTAGTGTCATTCCTTGGCTGTTTGTGCCCTCCATGACTGTCAGACACTGAATTTCTGCCCGAGGTCACACAGGCTGGGGGGAGGGAGGCAGATGCCAAGGATGGTGGGTTGATCCCACTGTGCAGCACATTGGAATGAGCGACATTCCCGACCCGCTGGAGAGCGGCCGGGTGAGCTCAGCCCCTGCAGGGCTCTGCTCACGTGAGCTCAGCACAGTTCCCAGGGAAATACATGAAAAACATTTGCAGAGCACCTGCTCTCCCCCCCTCACACCTGGAGACCTTCTGCCTGCAGGGTTTGAAGGATCCCTGTGCTCATTCATCACCTGGGGGACCCGGCCCTGCTCCCCTGGACCTGCCACAACGGGCCAGGTGGGTCCCTCCTGCCTCTTCATGGAATCCTGGAATGGTTTGGGTGGGAAGGGACCTTAAAGCCCATCCAATCCCACCCCCTGCCACGGGCAGGGACACCTTCCACTAGCCCAGGTTGCTCCAAGCCCCGTCCAACCTGGCCTTGGACACTTGCAGGGATGGGGAGTCCACAACCTCTTCAGCAGATGTGTGACCTCCTGGCCGTGCTGGCATGGGGGAGCATCACCGCATTTCCAACCTGGAAATCATTTGGAAAAAAACTGATTTTTTGTTTTTTAAATAGGCACATTTCATCTTTTTTATGATGTCCACGCCAACTTCCATCATGAGTGAAGGCCCAGCTCTTTTTGTTGCGTTTGCTTTGTGGCTCTATGAAGACATAAATCAGCGGACCTTGGTTCACAGAATCATGGAATATGCTGAGTGGGAAGGGACCTGTCAGGATCAACTCCTGGCCCAAGGATCACTCCAAGAGATGTCAGTGTGCTCCAATGGCTGTTTGCTCCCCAGCTCTGGTGCTTTCCAGCCCACCAGAACGAATCCCACCGATGCCCTCCAGTGCAAACCCCAGAGCTCAGGGAGCTGAGGACACGCCAGCAGGTCTGACACAGCCCAGGGACAGGAGCCAGGGTGAGGACAGCAGGGCAAAGACTGGATAAAGCTCATGGGATGGCTGATTTGCTGCCTTGAACTTGTTGGCCTTCCTGCAAACATGTGTGGAAGGGCAGGAGGTGTGTGAGCACCCACCTGTCCCCGGGCAGGGGGTTGGAGGGGACCCTTCCAGCCGCTCGGAGAGAGGGCGGCTCCGGCTGCCGACACCTCCTGGCAGGAGGCCTTTCAATCGCTCCATGTCTGTGCTGGAAAGCAAGACCTGCTGTGATGAAACCCTCTGGCCTCCTCCCCCCGTCTCCAAGGCAAACACAGACAGTTCTGTTCCTGCCCCGAGAAATCCATATTTCAGCCTTGGACTCCCTTTGTGTGGGCTTTGTTTCATCCAGCGCCACGGAGCTTGGATGGCTTTTGCAGCTCATATTGTGCTTTGGATGCAGCCTCCTCTCTCCAGCCCTCTTGCTGCCTCCATAAAGAATAACAGCGCCTGGTGTTGTGTTTTCCCTGGATCAGGGGCTGCTGGAAACCGAAGGGAAACGTTGCTGGAAGAGGGAGAGGGCCGGTGGGACGCTGCCGGATCCTTCTCCCCAGCAGAGCTGCAGCCTGGGCTGTTTGGCTTTCTCAGGCCTTCACGGTGAGCAACAAATTGTCCCATAAAAATTCTTGCCTTGAATTTTATTTTTCTAAGGAGACAGGCCCAACTTGGGAACTTGGGACTTAAATCTCCCCCTTAAACGGACGGCGAAGTCCAAGATAGAAGCCATGGTGCTGAAATCCAGCGGGATCTTCAGGTTCTGCCTCTCTCCTTCCCTAAATCTGCATCTGAAGCCTCTTTTTGTGGCTGTGGAAGAAGAAAACCTTGCAAGGACATTTCAGCCTCTCTTGCAGTTGAGGAGGGACAGGAGCTGTTGGCCCCAGTGCTGGATTGAAGGATGTGGTCCAGCCTCACCCCCCCCCTCTTCCCAGGAAGGTAATTTGGGGAACTGCTGCCTCCAGCCTCTTCCTCTGCACATCCAGCCTGGAAGTCATGCTGGGGGACACACACCTGGGCATCTCCCTTTTCAATCCTCCCCTTCATTCCCACTCCAGCCTTGCTCTGTGCCTGCAGGGGGACAACATCCAGGAAAATGTGTGTTTGGGGCTCTCTGAGATGCCACAGAGATCCTCCCATAGGTCAGAACAATACAGATCCTCCCATTTTAGCTACTTCCACACAATTTATAAATACTGTGGTAAGCAAAAATTTCTTCATCCTGAAACCTTTAGGCACTGGTTCCCAATCCTTCAGCCTGTTTTATCTCCTAAAAATTGGGATGCTTCAAACCCCACCATCCTTTCCCTGTTGGGTCCATGGCTGTGGTGGTTTCCAGTGACCATGAGGGGATGCTCAGTAACCTGCTCTAGTGGCAGGTGACCCTTCTCATGGCAGGGGAGTTGGAACGAGATGATTTTTAAGGTCCTTTCCAACCCAAACCATTCTGGGATTCTAAGATTCCATGCTGGAAGCAAGAACATCTTGTGGCAATATGCTTCCCTTGAACCTGGAGTTGGGAATCACGGCATTTAAAGGGATTTGAAATCCGTGGCTGGAATTTGTGGCTGGTGCCACGTTCTGACCTGAGAGCTTTGAACTGGGGTGTCCATGAGTTATCCAGAGCAGCTCTCCTGGGACCTGAGGCATCTGAGAGGCAGTGCCCACAACATCCTTCCCAACTGGTCCTCTGTGCCCAGGTAAACACCATCACATCTTATTTTTGCAACAGATCATCCTCTCTGTGTCTCGGGCTGCAAATCTGCCCACAAGCGGCGTCAAAGCTGCTCTGACTCCGGTTTTCCCAGTGGCAAAGGGCCGGGTGAGGGATGGCCAGAACCATCCCTGCCAATGGAGCTACAAATCCCACCCTCTGGCACCCCAGAGGAGGGGGCAGGATGGGCAGGGGTGGGAGCAGCATCTCTTGGCCACGTGAGTCTCTTCAGCTGCTCAGACCAGCGAAGACAAATGGCCTGGAGGAAGCGTTTCCTCTGCCGAGGGCTCTCGCCCGGGAGGTTTCTGTTCACAGCCGAGGTCAGGAGTTGAAAAATGAAGAAGAAAGGAAAAGGATGGAAAGATCCATCTTCCCTTATGAAATCCCCAGGGCAGGGGGCATTTGGAAGTCATTTTTCACCGAGCTCAGAGCTGTTTCTGGCCCTTTAGCAGAGATTATTCTCTTCTCAAACCTCACAGATCGGGACACGGGGAAGTGTTTTCCCTCTGTCCTGGTGGGTGTTGGAAGAGGAGCGTTACCCTGGGGGCAGGAGTGCACCTTCCAAGGGTAGGGCCCTTCCAGGGGTTTTGGGGGTAAAGTGGAACCAAATTCACCCCGAAAATTGCTCTGTTTCTCAAAATTCAAACATTTGAAATGCACTGGGGCTCAGATGCAAAAAGAAATGAGTGGTTTGGATTAGTGCATTAATGCACAGGGATGGCTATTAAGGGGGAAAACCCTTAAAATAGGGAAGGAGAATTTCAGCCTGGTTAAAGGAAATTGAAATAAAATTCCTTTCTGGAAGGAATTCAAGAAAATTATTTTCCTTCTGTGTTTCTGTCTCTCTTCTTCTGGCTTATAAAAACACCTTGGCTCAGATATTACACCAATTCTGCCTTTTATTATAAAGTCCTGCTCGGGTTGTGCAGATTTCATGCTGTTACATGAAAGTAAAATTTTATGACCAGAAGCTGAAATTAGGAAGGACCCTTTTTTTTGTTGTTGTTGTTGTCTTGGGTTGGATTTTGTTGGTAGTCAGGAGGGTTTGTTTAGTGTTGCTTTTTCTAAAGCACAGCCAACTCCTCCGGGGCTGAGCACTCCAGGCTTTTTTTGGGATGCTCGTTCCAAACAGGTGCTGATGTTGGGAAGCTGAGCTCTGGACGGAGGAAGGAGGTGGGTGATGCCCTCCTTCTGCTACTCACCTCGGAGCAAACAGGGTTCCACGGCTGTTCCAGAACGGGAGGGATGTGTGGGAGAGCAAATGTGTTTCATTGCTCAGGACACAGACCCTGGATGTCCAGCCTGGAACAGTGTTGTGTTGTGTTGTGTTGTGTTGTGAGCAAAGTAACTGTGCAAAAGTGAGAGCTGTTCCCTCCCCTCACCTCCATAAATCCAGATTCAATGGATCACAGCTTGGTTTGAGCCCATGTTCAACACCAGCTGCTTGCTGGCTGGGCAATGCCAGCAGACTTCAGTTGCCATTTCTCACTTTAAATGTGGTACTTCTGTTTTTCCATTAATTCTTCCCTCCTCTGCTAAAAAAGAAACTATGGAAGGGAGGAAAAAAAAAGTCCTAAAAGGTCATTTGGTCCTTCCTTGTTGGGTGAGTTACAGGAAGCTGAGGGGTTACCCTATCTGAGGATGTTAAAGAAGAGTTGCAATACTAGAAGAGTTACAGCATTGGTTTCTTTTGGGACTTTGGCAAGGCAGCTTTGCACCTCCAGGATCCATCCCTGCACCTTGTGTTGCTCTCCAGCCCTTGGGAGAGATGCAAAGACCCCTGGGTTGGGGGGAGCCATCCCACCCATCCCAGCTGTGACTGGGCACCTCTCCCTGCACAGCTCCTGCTGCAGCTCCCTGGGGCATCCCGAGGGACTTCAGGGCATGGATCTCCCCTCCCTGCTCCAGAGACACCAGGGCTGGGATGGGGGGTTTAAGTCAAGCCCCCTGGCCCCTCCAGCCCAAACCTCTGTGCAGCCTCCCCCTGCCCTGGGAAGATTTCCGGAGCAGCCGTGAGGATTTTCCCAGCTCTTTATCAATAATGCAGCAATAAAAAGGGGCAGCCTCTCTTTCCAAGGGCTCACAGAGCCCGGAATAATCCAAGGAGGGATTTGGCTCCCCCCCAGTAGCCAATAGTTTAGTGGTGGGCAGTGCTTTCCAGCTCCTCTGTTGGAGGGGGCTGTTCCCCCATCACCAAAGTGTGACTGAGGCTCCGTGATGGGCTGGCCCATAAATCTCTCCCCTCTAATCCTTTCCATTCTACTTTTTCCAAACTGGGGGAGGAGGGGGGATACGGGGCTGGGCTGGGCAGCCCAAAGCTTTAACCCTTTGTGCTTTGGGGGATCTTCTGCTGAGCAGAAGAGGAGGGTGGGTGGAAGGAGGGCTGTTCCACGGCAGCCTTTTAGAAGCAGGTAGTTCTAGTCAGCAATTAAAGCCCCACTGACAGCTTAAAGAGCTCCTCTGGAAGTTTAATAAGTCCACCACTGGATATAAGAAATAAATCTGGCTGCATTACAATCACTTCCAACTACTTAAGCAATAAATGCAGAGCTCTGCTCTCGTTCAGCCGTGACGTGGGGAATGTTGCTGCACTCCCTGCTTGGTTTCCAGGGCTGGGATGCCAGAGCAGGACCCAGCTCAGCCACTGGAGCCAAGGAGACACTGTGGAGGTCACGGGGCTGTGCTGGGGGTGGGGTGATCCAGGCCTTCAGTGTGAGGTCACTTGGAATCTGAGGCTGAAATGAAGCACTTGTGGGCTCTGTGGAGGTGAAGAAACTCCCGTATGGGGACAAGCTGAGAGAGATGGGGCTGTTCAGCCTGGAGAAGAGAAGGTTGTGTGGAGACCTCACAGCACCTTCCAGGATCTGAAGGGGCCCACATGGAAGCCAGAGAGGGACCCTTCAGCAGGAACTGTGGTGACAGGACAAGGGGGAATGGGTTCGCACTGAAAGAGGGAAAATTTAGGTTGGACATACAGGAAAAATTCTCCCCTGTGAGGGTGGGGAGGCCCTGGCACAGGTTGCCCAGAGAAGCTGTGGCTGCCCCATCCCTGGAAGTGTCCAAGGCCAGGTTGGACAGGGCTTGGAGCAACCTGGGCTAGTGGAAGGTGTCCCTGCTCATGGCAGGGGCTGGAACTTTAAGGTCCCTTCCAACCCAAACCATTCCATGATTCCATTATTCTAAACCACCTGAGCCAAATGCCAAAATCTCCCTTTGCCCCGTGGTTGGTGATGTGGAAGAGGTGTTGCATCCCAGCTACCTGACCTTGGGATATGGAACTGATGGGGGGAGGAGGTCAAGAACAAGAGGCAGACGGTGATTTTGGTCCTCAGGTGTTCACACAAACCCCTCTGCCAAGGCCAGGTTCTGACAGGCTGGGCTGGCACTGCAGTGTTGTGACACCAGCTCTTGGCCACGGGTGGAGTTTTACCCTCCCAGTGCCCAGTGGAGGTCGGGAACAGGTCCATCAGTGGCCACCTGAAGTTCCCATCTGGGAGCAGACTTTGTGTGTTGGGGGGCCCCCAACCCCTCCCAGCCCTGTCACATTAAATATTCCCTGCATGGGATATCTCCATGCCAGAGAGAGACAGGAGCAAGCCCAGGGCAGGATTTGGGCAGTGAGGGGCTTCTGCAAGCCCCCCATTGTGCCTTCCTTCCCCGATCTTCATCTTTGAGGTGTTGCAGTGCTTGAAAAATGAACTTTGTGTCCATGTTCTCCTCAAAGATCCCGGGCTTTTAAAGCCCAGCTTTCTAAACTGTGCTGAAAGGTCCCACACCGGGCAGGGGCTGCCTTTGAAAGGGAACAAATTGTCGGTTTATGGCTCCCAGGTGAGGGGGGGGCTGTAAATCTCCCACCATTTAACGCATCTGGTCTTTTCCAGGCTGGCTACCAGTGTTTCCAAGGAGGAGAGGGAGGAATAACCAACATTTCCGGCCATCGGCTGCTCGCGCAGCCCCCGGGAGCTCCTCAGGAAGGTTTTTAAAGGAATATTTATGGATGATCCCGGTGAATCAGGCCCTAAAAGGTACCAAGAAAGGGCTGTTGTTCATTAACATTTGGGGAGCTGTGCATTGAGGATTTCCCTGTGGAGGGGCAAAAGAAATGGAGTGAAAGTGAAGGGGCTTTCGAGTTAATCCGGTTCCTTTTGAACGTTATTGTTGTTGGTAAAAAAATCAGAACCTTATTTTTGATGAAGGAAAAAAAAAATTAGAAGGACATTTCTGGGATGGTTTTCCTCCAAAGTTTCTTTCTAAAATTCCACACTGGGTTCCTCAGCAAATATCTTTGTTCTTACTGATATAGGGATCCGTGGTTGAGCTTTGGTTTTTGTTCACCCACGTCTCCATGCTAAAACAAGATATCTACTCCAGCTAATAACCTGGGAATAACTTCAATTTGGTGGGTTTTCCTGAAGAAAACTTCCTTATTGCTTCAATTTAATTTCAATTTGATAAAAGATGGTCTTAAAGCTTTGCAGCTTTGCACTCAGTGTTCTCCAAGTTAAACTTCCCCATCTCAGTAAATAACAGATCGTTCCCCGAGCCTTGTAAAATCGCTTTGTATTAATCACTTTGCTTTTATGAACAGGAAAACTGAGCACAGGAGGAGGGATGGTTTGGTGGAAGAGCATCCTGGGGTTTCCATTTTCAGAGCCTTTTCCTGAGACATGAGTCACTTAAAAGCCTCCTGTAGACTCATTGATAACAGAAACTCCCTCGAGGTGAGCCCGGGTCTGTCCTTCAGCGTGTTTATGTAAAGTACCTTTGGAACAGGTTTATTCCACTGAATGTGTGGAGGAGATAAGGCCACACGTGCCCTCTGAGCCTGTTTCTTTCAGTGCAATGTCTTGAGGTTGATCTGAGTGTGCCTGAGATCAGAGTTTGCCAGAGAAAGAGAAAATCAGGGTGTTTTGTCAAAACTACAGGTTTGAAATTCTCGGGAGTTTTGCTGCCCATCCTGCTCCCAGAAGGGACCAGCAGGCTCCTGCAGATCCCAGCACCTCCCAGTGGATGATGGTGTTTTCCCAGTGTCTCCTGGCCGTGGTGGTGGGTGGATGGGCCCAAGCTGATGATGGATGGGGCCCACGGGGTCCCTGGGGCTGTTGGATCCAGGACTGCAACGACGGGGTCAACAGTGGAGACAGTTTATTGATGTCAGTGAACCTCCACCCTGCTCAGCTGCCATCCTGAGGGCCAAGGTGTAGGATCAGCGGACACAGCCCCCAAAACTGTTGGATTTGGGTCTCCTTCCATAAGCAGGGGGTGGTTCCAGAGTAACTGAGGCTGTGCATGGGGCAGTTTGACGTGCAGGGCCGTGGGGGTGCAGAGGTGTCCATGAGGGCTCCAGTAATGATTTCCTGGGAGAAGCACCTCTTTTTCAGAGGTGATGTGCCTAATAGATGGAAAACACCAGGGACAACCAGGTGGTAAAAAGAAAGTGCTTCCTTCTTATCCTAAGCCATCCCCCCTTCTTGGCACACATCTGGTGTTCCTACACCAGAAGGACCTTCTTGCACATGTTCATCCATGAGCAAAATCCTCCAGGGAGAAACTGCTCTGACTCAGCTCCTCTGCTCAGCTCTGTGTGCACTTGGCACGAGGCAGGAGGTGAAGAGCTCAGCCCAGGCAGAGCAAACCTGTCCTCCAAGGCCTGAGATGTAGCAGATCCTCCAAGGCAGGAGAGGCAGCAGGCGGGAAGATGCTGATTTTTTGCCTGATGAGCAGATCTCCAGCTGTTCTGCCCCATCCTCCTGGGACAGGGACAGGGAGGGGGTGCAAAGCCACAATGACTTCACCAGCAGCACAAGGATAGGATGGTGTCCAGCTGATCCTTGCGAAACCCCCTCTGGAGCGTGCTGGCTGTGGGAACTGTGCCCAGCTCCGTGTCCTTGCCTGAGTCACTTCTAACTCAATACTGAGTTGTTACCACTGGCATCAAAAAAGGGGTTTTTTTTGCTTTTCAGTGACTTCACAAATCCAAGGCACTGCCAACTATCCCCCCTTCACAGCATTTAAAACATCAACACTTCCCTCCCCAATGAAAAGGGAGCCAAAGGTCCTGTGCTTTCCTGTGCCCCTTGCTCTCCCACAGCAGGGATGTGGGGATTGGCCTTTTAGGAAGCCTCCTCTGCTCCACTGAACTGTATTTGCAGTTTAGGACTGTGGCCTTGTGATCCTGCACTCAGTGTGTGCAGTGGGACGTGGGGACAGGTCTGGTGGGGATCCTGGTTTAGCTGTTCCCTGGGTTTGTCACAACAGCTCAGGAGCTACTGGGGAACAGTTGAGTTTGGTCTGTGTCAAAGCACCAAGCCTGCCAGAGTTCAAGAAGCATTTGGACAGTACTGTGGGGCCCATGGTGTGACCTTGGGATGGTCCTGTGCAAGGCAAAGAGTTGGACTCAGTGATCCAACTCTGCATACTCTGTGATCCTGCGATTCCCAGTCTGCCCAGTCTGGAGGTGTTCACCCTCGGAGTAGGTGCTCCAACTCCTCCCTCGTGACTCCCACATGTTTCCAACATCCCTGTTGAAAAGAAACCTCCATCTCTCCCCCTTGTTTCCCTTTCTCTGAGACTCTGCTTGGAGCTTGCACAAGCCTTGCCCAACAACAGCCCTGGCGCCCGTCCCGGCGCGGCCGTCGGGACTCCTGTGCAGGGAGGGCAAAGGCTGTGCTCGTGCTAGTTTTGGGGCACATTTCACTCACCTCTGGCACCTCTCCCTGCTCGCTGCTCCCAAATTTCCAGGGTTCCTCTCTCTCTCCAGCTTTCCCTCCTTCTGGGCTCACCTCTGCCTCTTGGAGGCCTCATCCCCGGGAAGCTGCGGCGAAACGTGGCACAGACAAAGCCAGAAAACCACCAAGAAGTTCAGGGAGTTTTCCTTCTTTGCTCTGCTTCCTTTGGGATGGCATTAAAATGCAGCAGAGGATGAGACCTGGGTCCTGCTCTGTTTGTGGAGGATTTTTCCACTGGTGCAAAAAAAGGGTTCTGAGAATTCTTTTTTACAAAGGAAAACACAGAGACAACGGCCACGGGGGCTGGAGGGCTCAGCCTGGGGTCCTTGCTCTGGTAACCAGCTCTTAGGTCAGTGGTGGATAATCAAAACTGGGGGGTGGGGGGGAAACCAAGGGTCTGGTGCCCAGCTGGTGCAAATTAGTCAAATTGTTAAGATTTTAATGAGTTTGACAACCAAAATTGCCTGTGCTGGTAATTCCCTTGCATGCTCCTGGGGAGAGGCATTAGAAGAAGAAGAAGAAGGGCAGGTTGTTCTTCTTGGAAATCCTTCCACCTTCTTTATGCAGAGAGGAGAGATATCAGGGAAGCTGAGCTCTGGATGGTCTCTGTGGGTTGGAGGAACTTTGAGACAGGGATCTGGCTTGGCTCTGTGGTAGTATCAGGGAGTAGGATTATCCCCCTATCCAAGTAGGGTAAATCAGGAGGAAAATGTACTGAAGTGGTGGGAATGAGCCATCGGCCCAGCAGAACAGCCTGTGCTCTGGGGAAACAGCAGCAGGAGAGGTCCTGGGGGGCTGGAAAGGGAGATTTGACCCTGCTCTGAGGCTCTGGCCAGCCTGGGAATGCACTATCCTATTATTCTGGAATTCTGTGACCCTGCAGGTTTGCATGAGCTCCAGGAGCAACCCAGTGGGGCAGCTGGAGCCTCCTGGCATGGGGGAAGCCCTGCTGGCTGTGCCCTGCCCAGGACAAGGGACATCATTTGGGGTCAGCTCTGGTAAGTCACAAAACCCCCAGGGCTGGGACCCCAACTCCAGTTCAAGCCATGGGGATGCCCGTCAACAATGATGTGTTAAATCAGCAGAAAAACTGCTTTCCTCTCTCTTTGGATTCCTTGTCCTGCTTGCAGGAATCAGGGACCCTTCCCTCCACTGGGGAGCCACAAAGCTCCCGTCTCGGCCAACCTTTTGTCTTGGTACAGCTCTGGCCTTTGTGCTCTGTATTAATTTAAGATGCTGTGAAGTGAGAGCTGTGGGGGTGGGAGATGCTGTCTAAAAGTTGTTCAGAGCCTTTGCTGGATAAATCCCCGTGGAATTTCATTTAAACGAGCTGACACCAGTATGAATCATGCCAGCATTACCCGCTCTCCAGCACTTCCTACCAACTGCCTGCAGGGCTCTTGCTTTTTCAAGTGAAGACTAAAAGCATCTAAAACAGTTTAAGACCCAAAAGTCTTAAAATAATAGGTTGGGTTTTTTTTTTTTTCACTGAGGAAGAAACAACATCTGCTATAAAAATCTGCTGGCCAGGGGCAGTGGGAGCGGATACCACTTATCAGGGGTTGGAAAGTGCCTCAGCCCGGGCCCCAGGATCCCAAAGTGGTGTCTCATCTGTCTGCAAGCTGGACAGATTAGATGTACACAGAGAGGATGGAGAAGTAGGGATAAAAGAAAGGACACGGGGAATTCAGTGGAGGGAGGAAGGAAATAAAAGCAAGACTTCCAGGAAAGGGAAGGAGACAACACTGTGTTTATAAATACATACCTGGGCTTAAGTGAAGGCTCCTAAAAGCTGCTGGGACACAGTCAGGCTGCTTTGGAATAAAATCCACGAGGTAGAGTGTCTGTTCCCAGGATTTAACTGAAGAGTGACATCTCTTCAGAGGCAGGAAAGTGGTCAGGAGTAAGCATGAAACATGTAAGATTGCAGAATTCAAAAGGATAAACATTATTTGATACCTTATTTATAGGGCACCACAGGGGAAAGGTAAAGGTTTCAGAAAAGAAAGAAGCACTTTAATTTTATCTGGAGATTTTCCAACAATAAAATCTAATCCATCATTCTCCGTGTGTGACTGCTCTTAATGAAAATTTAGAGGCTGTGAGTGAAATTTAGAATTCCCAGGGGATACTATTAGGAAGATGTCTAGCAGCTATGCAAAACCTGTTAGATCAGAGCCCTGCCAAGGGCCGGGAAGAGTGGAGTGTGAAAGGACAGCTTTTAATTCCATGTGCCGAGGCTCTGCAGGGCCCAGCCTTCCTCTCCTGGGTGGCAGCAGCACTCCTGGGATGGCTCCCACCAGGATCAGCTCACTGGGGGATTTCAAAGAGACAAGACTTGGCCCATTTACATTTATTTTTCCCCCAAAGATCCTTCATGGTGATGAGAGTGGTTGATCTCCTCTCCTCTCCCCTCCTCTCCAGGTTTCTTGCCCAAATTTAGGGATCACAGTTAGGAGCTTTCCAAAAGGCAGAGAGTGAACCTATTTAATCAGAGAATCATGGAATGGGTTGGGTTGGAAAGGACTTTAAAGATCATCCCGTTCCATGGGCAGGGACACCTTCCACCAGACCAGGTTCAAACTTTGGACACCTCAGCCCATCTTGGAGCTGCACAGAGCCACAAAGTGCCTCCCAGCCTGACCCCAAGGTAAGGTTGACCATCCCTAATCATTCCCAATCCTCTGCACTTTATTTTTAATCAAAGCAGATCACCTGGCTGTTTCCAATACTTTTTAATGGTCAAAAAACGGGCTTCGATTATAAAGACAATAATGTTAAATTATTGAAGGGCCTGGATGTACATCATGAATCAGTTTAATACCAAAGTCACTGCCAATTATTCAACTGATTCCAAAGGAGACTCCATCACAAAATGTTAAATCACAGGATAAATCTGTCCCGGGAAGGGCTTTAGTAATCAAAATTCTCTCAAAGCAGAAAAGGCTTTTTCTAAAAGCAGAGGGGGTGGAAAAAGGTTACAGCTTAAGCCAGACATTATATAGTAATGCCAGATGTTAAACAGTTGACTTGAATTATTGGCAACTATCAAATGCACGATCCTGATACTACTGGTTGCAGAGCTGTGCCACCAAGTTTGTAATCTGTGGAATGGGCTTAAATATTCCTTTAATTTTCTGCCTATGGATAAGAGGCAATTTGGATTAGCTTCCGCAGAATAATAACCTCCTAATTCTCAGCAGATGAGCCCCAGCCTCGTGCAACATCAAAAAACCAAGACCCCGTGGAATGTGTGACCTTTAATGGCAGATGATTTCCAATCATAAGACTCCGTTGGATCTGAGTAATTAAGGACAAGACAGGCCTGAAAGTGCTCTGCCTGCAGACAGGAGGAGCCTACAGAGTTCCCTGTTCCCAAAAGCGGGTAAAAAACATCCAAAAAAAAAGGGTTCAGAGGTTTGCACATCGGTCTTTTTTACCCCAGAATTCACCTTTTTAAATTTTTTCCATGAATCCCTGTGCTGGAGAACTCCAATAGCCTGAGATCACTTGGAGCAGGTACTGTCTGCCCACGTGGGTTCTCAATTCCTTGGGTGCCTCTGCCTTTTTCCCTCTCCTTCCCATGTCACCCATCCAACATCACCCATTGTGTCCTTTTCTCCAGCAGGATTTGGGGGGGCAGGACTGGCACCTATTCATTTGTGCAGCCCCCAACCAGGTGTCCTGCAACAACCCTCCTCTGGGGAGTCAGTGACTGCTGCCATCTCTGTGGCTAAAAAATGGGATCTGGGCACCTCCTGCTCAGGCCAGGATTGGTGGGAATGACCTTGTCCCCCAGCAGTTCAGGCACGGATTTTTCCCACCAGCCTGGCAGCATCACCACGAGGTTGGGCACCTCCTGCATCCAGGATGAGATTTGCTCTCTCTCCATGCTCGGCTTGGGATGTGTTAGAAGTAACACATATAGTGACAGGATAAGGGGGAATGGCTCAAACTGACAGAGAGGAGGTTTGGATGGGATATTGGGAAGGAATTCTTCCCTGGGAGGGTGGGGAGGCCCTGGCACAGGTTGCCCAGAGAAGCTGTGGCTGCCCCATCCCTACGAGTGTCCAAGGCCAGGTTGGACAGGGCTTGGAGCAACCTGGACTAGTGGAAGGTGTCCCTGCCCATGGCAGGGGATGGGACTGGATGAGCTTTAAGGTCCCTTCCAACCCATGTGATTCCATGATTCTATAAATGCAGCTCCCCAGAGGTGTGAGGACAATCGCAGCCTGACCCACCCCCTGCAAACTGTAACAGAATGTCCTCCAAGCCTGGGCTGAGGCTGAAGTAACAAAACTTGGCTGTTCAGACGAGCCAAACCCCACATTTGCTTTTCTTCTGATTGTTTTCCTTCCCCTTTCCTCAATGCAGGGCTGTGAGATCTGAGAGCACGGGCAGCACGGCCGGGTTGTTCCTGCCTCGGCTCCGGTGGGAACATCCTTGGTCCAAGGCTGGAAGGTGGGTGAGGAAAGGGTCAAAACACATCCCCCCCAACTGCAGGAGGAGAAAAATGTTGGCAGAGCAAACCTTGCCACAGGAATAAAAGGTTGTCCTGCCTGTTCATGTTACTCCACGCGGGGTGAGTAAAACTGTCCGTCGGAGCGAAGCGTCTGATACACAAAGGGAATAAAAACTCATTAAAGGGCTGAAAGAAAACCCTGTTAAAATACCAAATATACAATGGAGGAGACTTGAACACCCTCATGCTTGAGGAGTGTCAGGCTTTGAAGGAATCTGATTTTTTTTTTTCCCCTGAAAGCAGCGGAAATGCGCTCTGTGGGAAGCCAGGTGGGATGAGGGGCAGGTAGAGTGTCAAAGAGCACTGATAATACTTCAGGGCCATGCTCAGAGCCTGAAATACGGAGGGGATTTATTCAGCTTTCTGTGGGGAGGGGAGTGACAGCAGATTTTTGAAGGAATTCCAATGTGGTTCATACTCGTCTGGTTCTTAAATCCCTTGGCCGCTGCTGTGCCGGGGTAGGAGCATCTCCACTGCTCCCCACAGCCCACAGAGAATCAGCACTGGTGGCTCCTCGGGGTGCTCCTGCCCTGGCCTTGCTCTTGTCCCCCTGAAAAACCAAAAAAAAAGAGCTTTTTAGAGGGCCTGAACTACCCTGAGAACCATCTTTCTCACGGCATCCCTGATTCTACTTTATGTGGTCTTGGGGAAGGGAAGAAATTACAAAGGAAAAGAGTAAAGGAACCATTTTCTTTCAAGCACTGGAAAACCACCTCAGTCCTGTTAGTGCTGGAATGATGGAGCCTGGTTCCCAATGGATTTGTGCCTCAGGGCTGATGGACTTTTAAACCAAACTAAACTGTGGCTGTGGCAGGATTTCACCCCTTTTTACACATCGGAAAAGTGGGGGGGAAAAAAATTAATGATTAATACCTCACCCAGAGCAATTCTTGCCTGGTCCAGCCACCCAGAGTCTTTGTTTTTGGGTGTTTTCTCCTGTGTGGACTTTCTAGTATCTCATAGGTATGAATGCTACCAAGACTTTTCCATGGTTTGGGAATTTTTGTCCCTTTTCTTCCTGAATTTGAAGCTTTCTGGTTGTGGTTTCTGTCTCTCACACACACAAATCTTTTATCACAACCTTTATAGGGGTGTGTTAACTTTAGGATTTCTACCTGTTGTCCATTTGATTGAACTTGGCACCAGAATTCACTAATTCCATGGGGATGGGGCTGTGAGGGGAACATTCCCTCATCCATGGGATATTACCACAGAAATCTCTTTGCTTCACAAAACCAGGGTTCAAGGAAAACCTTGCTGCTAGTTTAGATGGAATAAACCACTAATGCAGGCCCTGAGCTTAATCCATTTTCCCTGCTCTGCTACCATTTTCCTCCTGCACAGGGAGGCAAGTTTTTGTCTCAACCCCTCCTCCTCAATCCGGCTTTTTTTGGACAGCAAGGCTGGTTTCCTCCCATCTCAGCAACACCAGGTACAAACAGGGCCCGTCATTCCCTCACAGGCACATTATAATCACCTAAGTCCTGTTTCCTTCTGAAACCTGAGCACAGCTGGTTCCACAAAGCCCATTGCAATGCACCGAGGGGCTCTTCAAAGGTGGAAAAAGGGGGAAACCTGCCCTCAGCTCCCCACAGAAAGTCTGTCCACGAACGGAGGCAATGAATCTGCAGAGACGCTGAGGGAAGTGAGGAAACACCACAACCCTTTTCCAAAAGCTCAGTTATAAGAATCTCTTTTACATTTGCAGCTCTGAACATGGTTTTTGGGGCCAAAAGTGCCCAGGAGCCACGAAATGAGTCAGCTCTGGCACCTCGGCTGGGCTCGGCTGATGGATTAGCACATGTCCGTGTGGGACTGCAGGTTTCAATCCTCAGAGCCTTTTCCAGTCAACTGATCCATCCCAAACCTTTCAGCAGGTACAAACAGGCCTTTGCCTTCCAGCAGGATGAAGCAGCAGTAAATATAAATGGGACATGGAAAGCGTTTTGGAACAGACATTTTAATGGTCTGTTCGCTGTTGCGGTCGGAGAGAAATTCCCTTCGAGCTCAGGAGCAGGTGGGGAGAAATCCACTCCTCTGCCCCTCATCTGATCATTCCCAGGGAGCAGAAGTCTTCTGTGCCTCCAGTTAATGCCCCAGCCTGGTCCTGAGTGCTCCTGGAAGCACAGATGTGGGAATTACCTGTAAAATAAACCAAGAGCAGGGCAGGGCCCTGTGGAGAACGGCCTGAAGCTTTAATGACACCTGGAATTGTGTATTCCCTCCTTTATGTTCCACCTCCCAGCCTGCAGCTAATTATTGTCTATATTCTACTTGATTTTGAGGTGGCCAGAGGCAGTTTGTGCTGAGGGGATGGGAAAGGTGTTGTTCTCCTGCTGTAACAGGAGCAGAAGGATCTTTTTGCCTTTCCAGGTGTGTTTTGAGATGTTTCTGGTGCTTCCCTGTGAGGGTGGGGAGGCCCTGGCACAGGTTGCCCAGAGAAGCTGTGGCTGCCCCATCCCTGGAAGTGTCCAAGGCCAGGTTGGACGGGGCTTGGAGCAACCTGGGCTAGAGGAAGGTGTCCCTGCCCATGGCAGGCGATGGAATGGGATGAGCTTTAAGATCCCTCCCAACTGAAACCATTCCATGATTCTATGATTCCATGATGTCAGTCTGGGACCTTGAGCTTGGCTGTGTCTGGGCACCAACCCCACCATGGCAGAGCAGACCGAGCTCAGGCGACGTGGAATTCAACCAACAGATTTTACACCCACACCACTAAAAATAAGACGCCGACGCCAACTCTTCATCTGGGAAGAGGAACCACCAGTGTCGCTGCGTCTTGGATGAGGCTCAGCACTCAAGTCCTGACCATATTTAGCCAAAAGATCATCTCACAGGACTTCACAGAGTCATGGAATCACAGACTGGTTTGGGTTGGGAGGGACCTTAAAGCTCATCCAGCTCCAACCCCCTGCCACGGGCAGGAAACCAGGAATTCTGCAGGAGAGCGGAGCTTTAGAGAAAATTATTCTGGCCCAGCGCCAGCTCTGCCTTTATTATTTCCCCCTGTTATCTCCAGACTTCATTTCACCCCCTAAATTGCTGTGTTGAGTTCCCCAAGGTTTCTAAAATGCTGCCATGCTACGGAGGGAGCTACAGGGAGGAAATTATGTCTCCCCAAAATGCCCCACACAGCTGAAATCAGGCCACCTATTTAGGTGTCAGGTTCAGATTTTGTCATTGTAAGCACAGAAACTTGAAACATTTTGCCCAAATGTGTTGAAAGCCACGAAGACATTAAAGATTATTCATGGAATAAATATTCATTTGCAGGAAGAGGGTGTTTTTTTTCATGCATGAATATTTCAGGCAATGTGTGCAGGCGCTTCCAGATAAAGGTGATCATATTCTGAGTGCTGTTTGAATAGTTCCTAATACTAAAGATATCAAGGATTAAAGATACCAGGATACCTTCTTTTTAAGATTTAATCATGGAATAGAATCGTGGAATGGTTTGCGTTGGAAGAGACCTTGAAGCTCATCCAGTTCCAATCTGCCGTGTGCAGTTTCTGATCAAGCTAAAATCCTTCCTAGATTTTCCTTAACTAATTATTATTACTGAAAAACTCCCTGAGAGTCTCTGTTCAAACTTTCCCTCCCGGCGCTGCAACGCCGTCGCTCTGCTGATCATTTTTAACTACAAACACATTGCACTTGTCGCCCCGAACACCAGAAAAAAATGTCCTTATTTTATTCCCAACTCCCCTGGCGCCGTTCCCTGGGCCAGCAGCACACCAAGAGATGCGGCTTCACATCTCCAGCTTTCCCGGGTTCAGAATTCCTAGTTTTTTTGGAGTCCTGTGTGGAGCTCTGGTACCATCTAGTGTTGCTGGAGAAGCCTCGGCTGCTGGATGTGGCTTTTCCTCGCTGGTGTCGAGCTGGGCTCGCAGGAGAGGTCGCCTGTCGCGACAGGAGGGGTCGCCTGTCGCGACAGGAGGTGGCGATTAGGAGTGACAATACGCAGTGACAGCGTGTCCTCCGCCACCAGCTGTGGCTTGGGGTGAGCAGATACAGCAGGACTGGAAGAGAAGCAACTCCCCGTGCTCTGGGGAGGCGCCTGGGCCCACACAGGTGTGTGTGTGGGCGAGTGTCACCTGAGGGGCCGCGGCCACCATGACGCCCCCCAACAGGGCGCGCGAGATGCTTCACCACCTCCCTCGTGCCCTCCGGTAGCGCCTCACGCACCAAGAAGCCCCGCAGGGCGCTGCACAGACGCGTAGGGCGAGGGATTTATTTAAACAGCTTATTTAAACGGGTTTATTTAAAGAGGTTTATTTAAACCCCCCCAAAAGAGAATTGCCCTCAGCAAAGATGGCGGCGGCCCCGCGGCCCCCGCCATCTTTGGTGAGGGCGGAAGTGACGCACGGCGTCGCCCCCGCCCCGGAAGTGCTCGCTCCTTCAAAGAGTGGCGGGCTCGGGGCCGGGGCGGACGGTGAGGGGGAAACGGGGGAGGAAAACGGGAACTGCGGGGCCGGGCACGGCGGGAAGGGGCTGCGAGGGCAGCGGGAGCGGCTTTGGGGCGGTTGGTCGCGGCGGGGGGGGTTTGTGGGGGGTCTGTGAAGGGCTCGGGGTGGGGAGGGAGGGGGAGTCGGGGGGGTTTGGATGGAGTTGGGGCCGTGAGGGCGGGGAGGGGGCTGGGGGGGCTTGTGCGAGGGCTGAGGGGAGGCTGGGGGATCATGGTCAGGATGGAATCCTGGAATGGTTTGGGCGGGAAGGGACCTTAAAGCCCATCCAGTGCCACCCCCTGCCACAGGCAGGGACACCTTCCACTAGCCCAGGTCGCTCCAAGCCCCGTCCAACCTGGCCTTGGACACTTGCAGGGATGGGGCAGCCACAGCTTCTCTGGGCAACCTGTGCCAGGGCCTCCCCTCCCTCTCAGCCAAGAATTCCTTCCCAATATCCCCTCTGACCCTGCCCCCTGGCAGTGGGAAGCCATTCCCCCTTGTTGTTACAGTTCTTCCAAAGCTGGTCACTCTAAACCGACCAGAAGAACAGCACCGCTCACATTTGGGGTCTATTTTCTTTCTTTTACCCCCATCTCCTTGTTTTTAGGGTTCTCTCACCACTGGATGGAATTCCAGTGTTTTTTGAGCTTGTGAGGATCAAACACTTCAGTCCCTGGTGTAACTTACCCAACAGAGATGAAGAATTTGGGTTCTTGAGGGGTCTTTTTCTTGCCTTGTTGAGGAAAGGACCTTGACAGTGGGAACTGTCTCTATGTTTTGTCTGTTGCCAGGTAGTTCCTTCCCTTTGGATTTCAGGAGCCATGGGGCCATCAGGAGAGGAGGAAGTCCAGAGCATAATCCTGATCAGTGATGATGAAGCCGAGGACACCCTTGGGAATTCTGTCCTGTTTGTAGACCCCCAGGGTAAGAGCTGCTTTTGATGAAGTTCCCTAAAAGACTTTTGGAATAAACTGAATTAAATTATTGTCTGATGTGCCTGAAATCTGTCTTTCTGCTGCTAGAAAATCAAAGTGCTTCAAAAGTTAATTAAACCAGGAAGAAATGCCACGATTTAGTAATTTTTAGGGATTTCTTTGATGGCACTTCTTAACGTAAAAGATGGTGCTGTGTAGTTTCAAAATATTAGCAACTGAGCTAAAACTGGGCCTTTTCAATGTCAGTTGGCTCCTTTTTGATTCCACACTCTCTGTTCTGATAGTTCATGGAAGTTTTTTGTACCATTCTTCATGGCACCAAATGAAACCACAAGAAAATTTGGGCCTGGAAGCGTTTAAAAAGAAAATGTTAATAATTTGTAAGGAAGTTTGTAGTTACCTGATTTACACTGATTTACACCTCCTGTGCTCTTTCCTACAGAGAAATCTCCCCTGGGAGAGGAGAAACCTGTGGTTGTGGATGAGGAATGTGAATTAATGGTCACCTTCTGTAAACAAGCCAATGTGATGCCTCATGCAAGATACGACTGCACCATACACCCCTTCGAGTATGTTCAGGGCTGGGGAGGGGAATTTGGGGCTTCATTGTCCACATTTAGTCCTTTTGGTCATGAAACTTCATGAGCTTTGTAAGAGCTGGAAGCAGAAGTGGAGCTGGATAAGGATGTAACTTGTTTCCTGAACAACCTTCTCTTGTAGGAGAACAGAGTGTGACACTTGCTCACCCCTGGGTGAAAATGCTGAGATTTGTGACCAGTGCTACTGCTACATCTGTGACAAACTGGCTTCTGAGGTGAGAGGACAACTGGGAGTAAATAAATTAATCATCAATAAAAAGAATCCTGGTATGGTTTGGGTTGAAAAAGACCTTAAAGCCCATCCAGTGCCACCCCCTGCCATGGGCAGGGACACCTTCCACTAGCCCAGGTTGCTCCAAGCCCTGTCCAACCTGGCCTTGGACGCTTCCAGGGCTGGGGCAGCCACAGCTTCTCTGGGTAACCTGTGCCAGGGCCTCCCCACCCTCACAGGGAAGAGTTGAAGGGCACAAAACCAATAAGTGATACATGAAATCTGATTGTTTTAACGGTTCCTCTCCTTAGGGTTGATCCCTGTCTGCTTCATAGCTGCTCAAAGTGTGGTTTTGTCAGGGGTTTCTTTCTAACAGTCCAGGCAGTTGTTGGAGTAAACATTTAATAGGTAGAAGCAAGTTTACCTCCTGTTTGCTTTGGGCAAACAGTGCATTTCATAAAATCAAATTACTGAATCAAACTGTTTCTCAGTGAAGTAGAGAGATGTCAGACTTTTAGACTGTCCTAACTTGGAGTGGGAGAGTTGGGGGTTCTTTGTTAGGTGACCTGAATCCTTCAAGCTTGCAAAATCCTGGCTCTGGGCCTTCTATATCTCATTCAAATGTCTAGTTTACCTAATTTATTACCTTGTGTGTACTACTCCTATTCTTTCTATAATAAGACCTTTGGTCCAGTGAGCAGAACAGAACATGATTTTAACCAGTGTTCCTAAAATGTTCTTCTGGCAAAACAGGTAGAGCAAACAGGACAAGGTATACCAGCTGAAACATTTGTTAACTCTTTTTTTTGTGCCATTTTGCCATCGGTTTGGGGGTTTCTTAGAGTTTGTTAGAATTCAAAAACTGAGCTGTGGACAAACTTGGGGTGAACGTGCAAAGACAAGACTCTGTTCCCAACTTCCAGTGGGGAGGGTGCCAGCCCTGAGGGCCTCTGTAAAGTGTTCAGGAGTGACAGTAAATAATGTGGGGGGGGTTTTTGTTCTTGTTTGCCATGATACTGAGTTATTGTCACATTGAGAACTTCCCTGTGCCTTTGCTCAGGTGTGTAAAGGGTGAAATGATTTGTAGCCCTTCATTCAGAGAAACTGGGGTTTTTTTGAGTTGCTCAACTGGAAGGGGGGAAAAATTACACTAAAAAAACCCTTTCCCTGTTTTTCCTGTTTTCTACAACAGTGCCAGAACTGGACAACCCCCTCCCTGTGCCACTGCAACGCCCACAACAAGAGCAGGTTCTGGAAGGAGCAGCGGGACTTTGCCCTGGCCGGGGTCCTGGTCATGTTCAACCTGGAGCTCACGGACATCGACGCCGAGCTGCGCCACGGGGGTGGGTGCTCTGCTCCCACAGCACCCTGGCAGCCTGGGCAGCAGCTTGGCTGGGCCACAGCTCTGCCTGGCAGGGCTCAGGGGCTTTTTAAGATGGCAAATTGCTGTTGCTGCTCTTTATCTGGGTGGTGCTTGCACCAGACGCAGGTCCGCGGTCCAGCTTCCTGTTTGCCTCCCTCTGGAAGAGTCACAGAACGGTTTGGGTTGGAAGGGACCTTAAAGCCCATCTCATTCCCACCCCCTGCCATGGGCAGGGACACCTTCCACTAGCCCAGATTGCTCCAAGCCCTGTCCAACCTGGCCTAGGACACTTCCAGGGATGGGGCAGCCACAGCTTCTCCGGGCAACCTCTTCCAGGGCCTCCCCACCCTCACAGGGAAGTACCAGAAATGTCTCAAAACACACCTGGAAACACAAACAGATCCTTCTGATCCTGTTCAGCACAAAAATAATACCTTTCCCATCCCTCACAGCACAGACTGCTGTGCTCTTGCCTCTGGCCACCTCAAAATCAAGTGGAATAAAGACAATAATTAACTTCAGGCTGGAAGGTGGAGCTTCTCTGGGCACCCTGAGCCAGGGCCTCACCATTCTTCTTCCCAATATCCAACCTAAATTTCCCCTCTTTCAGTTTGAAGAAGCAGCAAACTTCCACCAAATAAAACTGGATGCAAGCAAGTGGCTAAATAATCTTTACACAGTGAACTTATGGTTGTCTTCCTTTTGATTTGAAAAAAAGAGATGCAAAACTCTCAGTGCAACTTTTTTTTTTTTCTTTTTGTCTTGTCTCTTAGGAAGTCTTCTAATCAAATTTATGCAGGAACTTTATGTGGAATATAATAAGTATCTGAGTGGAGAAAGGATGCCTCCCACAAAACATGAATGCTTTTGCTTGCCAAAATTGCCTCCTGGGCAGTGCAATGCCTGCAGGTCACGGAACATGGAGGTTGTGTACAAGTAAGTGACAGCAGAGACTGGGCAAGTGTGCAGGTTTGATTTCCTTTAGTCAAGTGACAATCAGAATTGTGGCACCTGATGTAGCAGAAATGGAGTTGAGAGGGCCAGTAAGCTGCTAAATTACACTTGAATGGAGTTTAAACACCCTCTTAAATACATCTTTAAATACATCTGTTGTGCCGTACAAGATACCTGATAATACCTCGTTATTGTAACCTGGGAAAGCATGAAAATAAGGCCTGTATTTTAGGATAGGGTTAGATGGGATATTGGGAAGGAATTCTTGGCTGAGAGGGTGGGGAGGCCCTGGCACAGGTTTTCCAGGGAAGCTGTGGCTGCCCCTGGATCCCTGGAAGTGCCCAAGGCCAGGTTGGAGCAACCTGGGCTAGTGGAAGGTGTCCCTGCCCTTGGCAGGGGGTGGGACTGGATGGTGTTTAAGATCCCTTTCAACCCAAACCATTCCAGGATTCTGTGATTTTTACTAATTTGTTTTTTAGGGTGGGTTTCACCTTTTAATGGATGTAACAAGCCTTTAAAAAAGTACTGAAATTAATGGTTGTGCAAGCACCTTTTCATCATGTTATAAATCCTTTCAAGGCAAGGCAGCTTGTTCTCAAACTGTAGAATGGTCACAATTACCATTTGTTTGTGCAGTTCATGGTTGCAGACCCTTTCTCTTATAGACCCCTTAACTTTCTCAGGTATTCTGACGTTTTTGCCCTGGTAACAAGATTTTTAAATCAGGCAGAGCAAGAAAGTCCTAAAGCTGCTGCTGTGATGCTCCTGGGAGCAGCTAAAGAGATTGCAGCGCACAAAGACCCTGCCCTGTAAGTACCCAGGGCCACATCCAGGTGGGACCTTTGCTTCTCCAAGGGAGGGGAATTGGGGAGGGAATTCCAGGGTTCCGTTTATTGAGGGTAAGGAAGTGTCAGAATCCCAGCCCAGGCTGCAGCACAAGAGGAAGAGGAGCCCACCCGAGGGAGAAATGGGATTGGTTACAGCAGGGATTTGGGGAAAAGAGGTTAAAGCTTGGGTGTGAAGGGAAGAAGTTAAATGGGATTAAGTCATGAGGAAAGGAGATGATCTCCAGCAAGGGGAAGGAATTTGAGAAGGCAACTGGGAGGAAGGAGGGTGACAGACAACAGAGGGAGGCAGGTGGGGTTAATTCCCCTGGAGAAAGTACAAGGACATGGAATCTTTCCTGAGAAGCTGCATTGAGTGAAGAAACATCTGACCTGGGAGGATGGGATGTTCCTTGGGTGATAAGTTTTAGATGCTTCCCAGGCTGAGTTGTCAGCTGGGGGGCTGCACAATAAAGATATTAAACCAGAGTTTAAACCCTTCAGTCTTTGCTGCCCGAGCAGTTTTATTGTCTTTGTCACTGAGCACGAGCATTGCAGAGCTTTGCTTTGCAAAACCTCAATATTTTGGGGCTTAAATTCGTGGGTTTTCATAAAGGAGAAGTAAAAGGGGTCTGGATTGGTTTGACAGGCCAGAAACAGCAGCTCCTCTGCAGTTCCCTCTGAGGAGCTGTCCAGGTTTGCCAGGAGCAGGCTGGATGCATCCTTTGGGAAGGTCTTTCTTTATACACTTCCTGGGATCAGGCACTGCTGGAAAGCACTGTAAATTCTGCAACATGGTTTGCACTTTGAGCATTTGTTTTACCTCTTTGCAGTGGTTTTTGTTAACATGACAATTTCCAATGCTTTTTAAGGAAGAGAGTGGGGTACAGGGAAGGGGAAAAGGCAGGAAAACCAGGCAAACATTAACTACTGCTTTTTTCCCCTCCCCTCTTAGAAGCTGGCAGAACCTTGGCCACACTGCTTCACTAAAGATTGCTGTCCCATGTCTGTTCCAAAGGTGAGATTTGTTTTCTTCCTGGCTACAAAATTCTCTGTTTGCTTTTAAAAATGCAGATTTCCAATGACAATTCCTCTGCTCAGAGGCACGTGGGGTGTTCTGGAAGGGCAGAGCAGGAGGTGTCAGGTGGTGGCCGTTAAACCAAAGAGCAAATAGTGTCTCTTAGAGGTCAAAACAGCAGCCTTGGAATATTCCACTGGGATGGAGTAGCCAGGGATGTAACATAGTAAAGCTCCCCTAGAGGCTGGGGAATGAGGACATCCAGCTCCCTTGGCTTAATTCAGTTCTCATTTTAGCTTTAACTTTCCCCTTTCACCCCAAATTCACTTGCCACAGAAGGTTAATGAGTTAAGAATTAACTTCTTTCAGGAGCACTCAAACCCAATTCCATATTCTCATTTTATCTGAAACTAATGACAGGTATAACCCAAATCCTTGACCAGTTTTCATTTGAAATTACTATTCTTGAAGTTTTTAATTTCTTACTTTTAAAAAACAGGAAAAGGATTTTTTTATCTCCCTCCCAAAAGCTTAAAGGAGTAAACTCTTCTTTGTTATCTCCAGTTATCAGTTAATCCAGAAATGGTTCCAGGAGCAGGGAGGGTGCAGGAGCTCGGGTAGATTATCAAGTCCAGCAGTGTTTCTTGTACATTTTCCCTGGAAATCTTTGTTTTAAAGCTTAAAACCACAAAACCTTGGTTTCACTGGTATTAAAAATAACAGCAAAAGATTAATATCGTTATTCACTACAAATCTTAAAGCAGAAATTTAAATATAGATGCAAACTGTCTGATATTTAACTAAAAAAAACCCCAAACTTCTGCAGTTTCCCATATGATTAAAAAAATCTTAATAGCAAATTATGTAATTTTAAGATATTACCTTTTTCTTTTCAAATCATAGGATCACAACCCAACTTCAGAGGATGCTGGTGTTGTGTGACTTTCCAAAAACTCTGTATGAAAAGTTCATTAATTTTTTTCAGTCCATCTCCCTTCCCTGTCACTGCTTTGGCTTCTCAAACAGGTAAGTTCTTTGCCTTTTTTGTCCACAGGATATATTTTATACAGCTGCCTGATTTGAAAACAGCTCTGGGGGTTGGTTCTTTCCTTGATAGTAAAAGTGGGAGCATTTTAGAGGAATATTTTGGTATTAACTGCTTTTTATTTGTCCCATCCTTACAGGAGAAGTTGTTTGATGCTCTAAGTTGTTCTCCATACAGTTTTTAATTTTCTTTTCCCCAGAATTGAGCTGTAACCCCCCCAAAATGGTTTATTAGGAAATCTGCGTGATACTTAAAGGGATTTAAGATCAAAAAAATTGGGATTTAATCTCAAAACACAGTTCAAATGCCTTTGTTTCTGCCCTCCCAGCCTGAACGTGGTGCCCTGGGATCACGTGTTGCTGACCACGGTCCTGAAAGGCCAGAACATCACCGGGCAGAGGACCCAGAAAGGCAGGAAAATATTCCTCTGGGAAACACTCCCTGTCATCGAGGCTCGAGTGGAGAAACTGGTAGACAAAAAGAAGTAAGATTGTGTTGTTTTTTTTTTGTTTTGGAAACTCGGCTCTTAACGTTTTGACTGCAGTGGAGTGTTTTCCAAACCTCTGCAGGATGGGGAGACAGAAAACAAAGACCCCTTTGAACCTCTTCATGCCCCTTATTCCTTATCAACAAGGCCAGGAGCTTTCTGAAGTTTTTCAAAGCCCTCTGAATGCTCAGAACCAGAAAAACAATGTTGAAGGGGATGATTTCTGTGTTTCCATAAACCCTGTTGGGTTTCAGATGTTGATTTTTAAAGCAATTTCTGCTCATCAAAGGCTGACTGGTAGAAAACAGCCAGAAAAAATGTGTTCTGGATCTTCAGAGGTCTGTGCTCAAATGAATGCAGTGTTCAAAAGAATACAGTCCATTAAAGAATTAAATTGAAAGGCAACCTCTTGGTTGATTTTTGCCAGAGTAGAAATAATCAGTGAATAACTTCTTGGAATTTATTTCCAACTGTCTCTTGCTTCCAGTTGTATTTCCACCCTCTTGTGTGGGAAGATCCATTGTTTTGCTTCCTTAATTACAGTAAATATTTGATTGACCTGTCTGTAGCTTTGCACTTCCTTCCTTTTCCTACTCACCCTCTTTTTTTCTCTCCTCAGCTATAGAGAAGTTGTTCGTTACCTGAGAGCTGTGAAATGCAATGACACCAAAGGGTAAATGGCTTTTCCCCTTCCCCCCCTTTTTTCCCCCTTCCCCCCCTTTTTTCCCCCTTCCCCCCCTTTTTT